AGAAAAAGTTTGTTTACTGACAGCTTTCAAATGAGGTCAGGAATGGATTCAGGAAGATTTTTATACAAAACAAGTCTTATTCAGGCAATAAACTTGCACTGCTGACAAGGTTTCCTGTGAGGACATGATGAATCTTCCAACTACAAACCCTGAATGTCCGCTCTTATTGAGCAGGAATGAACACACACTGTTTCCTGATTAAAACAAAACATGCAGATACTGGAAATCTGAACTCCTGGAAACAGGCAACACCTTCACCTTTAATAATTCAGGGTTCAGGCATTCCTGGAGGTTTTATCACATGGTATTGATCATGTGACACCCAAACATGTGTTACCCAATCATATGCCACCTGATCACTTCACTTCTACAAAAACTATTGCATTGACCCTACAAACATTACAAACATATACACAAGGAGCAAGAGCAGGCCATTCAGCCCCCTGCATATGCTTCATTATTTAGTAAGATCATGGCTGATCTAATTGTAATCTCAAATCTGGCTCTCCCTGATAACCAGCATTATATTCAAAGACACACTCAGTGCTCAGTTGTATCGAGATGCCTAAATTTATATGTTTCTAAATTAAAGCATTCACTCAGTCTTACTACTGAAAAATACAGTTTCAGTGGTTTCCTTTAACCAACTTCAGCTGCTCTAAGTAGAATCAGTTGCACAATCTCATTTAAGCCTGGATACAATTTAGAATTTGATCAGTAAATTAAAGTCAGATATTAAATGTGAAATGCAAAAGATTAATAACTTCCTTACTCATCAAACTTGCAGTTATACTCCATTTTTTTAATGTTCTAACCAAAAGGATTGCTTGGTACAGATATGTGGATTTTAATTTACTAAGATTGTGACTCTTGTTTTTCTGATTTAACACAGAAAGTCAGACATTGTATTTTAATAATCATTTAATATTGGTGTACAGAACAATGACAAAGCACAATACCTTCCACTTAAAGTGTCAAAATTCTTCAGACCACGCATAAAGATGATTAATAAAGATTAAAGTGCACGGTGATGGGCCTCAGCTTCAAGATTAGTTTGATCATTGCAGCAGACAGCTGATCTAAATCATTGATCAGCAAGTCATCTTGTAAAAATGTCAAAACTACTTCGCAAGATGATAAGAATTCATGGGATTGGAAGCAAGGTTAAAGTTCATTCACCAGACCAGCTTCACAGTTCACCACTTGATCACTTGCCAAGTGTTCTCTTTGAATCCTGATTATCTTCTCATCATCCGGACTGTAAGGAGTACACTTTACCACTCTGCTCACAGCCACCTCCTGAGCTTCTTTCCATCTCATGTCTTTCTCCTTCCTCACATGAAGATTCCAACTTTCCAATGAACAAAGGACGACACAAATGAGGCAAACTCACATTGAGCGGTCACACAATGTCTGCAGCAAGTTCACATGAGGACAATATTCTTCTAGGGGTTTGCGTGACGCACTTTGTTTCGCAAAGGAAGCCTTACACTGTGACTAAAATTCTTTATCTCACCAAGCACCAAATTCACAGATAAAACTTTCAACTTCCAGAGATGTTTAAGTTTCAGGACTTCATTTTGCACTTTCCAAACACAATTGTATTTAAACAGAAAAAGGTTATTCCAACTACAGTTAAAAAAAAATTGCAGTGGATCGGAATGTGTATAATTGCAGCTGATCAAAGTGCATGTTTATACTTTGTCATGGATTTGAAACAGGCACCAAACAATTCAGCTTCAGCTGTGAGATTTGCAGCAGAGTTTAAATTGGCCGTTGTCACCCATTTTGTTAGGACTACACAGGTGGCAGGTTACTCCCAAGCATGACCAGTTACTAACTCAGGAACAACATTACAGCCTCAGGTGAAACTGAGCCTCAACCAGTAATGACTCACATACATTGTCCACTCACACTAACTCACTGACACACATTCATACTGACACCAGTACATTCACTCACTGTCCTCATAACTTGCACATTGATCTTCCCATTTGATTTTTTTTGCACCCCATCCATTACCTTCAACATTCACTCTCTTCACTGTTGATGCCCATTAACAGCATCTACAAGATGCACTGCAGCTACTCACCGAGGCTCCGCCGACGACATCTTCCAAGCCTGTGACATCTAACACCTAATGAGTTAAGGGAAGCACAGGACGGGACACAAACACTTGCAAATCCACTTCCAAGTCACTCACTATCCTGACCTGGAAATACATTGCTGTTTTTTTCAGTGTTGCTGAATTAAAATCCTGGAACTCTCTTCCTAATGGCACTGTCAGTCTACTTACACCTCAGGCACTGCAGTGGTTCAAGAAGCAGCTCACCACCACTTTTCCCAGGACAGTTAGGAATGGGCAATAAAGGGGCTGGTCCAGCAAGAGATACCCACATCATAGGGATAAAAAAAACTTCAAACAATGGCACACTGACACTGACATACTCAGACATATTCCCCACACTGACACTCTTCAAACTCACACATACTGGCACTCACTCACACTATGCACACATTATCCATATACTATCCACATATACTGACATAGCCTATTCACACTCTCACTCACAAGCCCTCACACTTTCTCACGCACATTCTCCTCAAGCACTGGACAGTTTGGCTCAGAGCTGGTTATAAGTCCTATAACAACAGCAATTCTAAAGTGTTCACGAGCATCCAACTCTACCACTAGACCCCCAAAACAGGAAGGGAGGGATCAAAACCACCTGGGGACAAGGAAGCTCCTGATGCTGATGCTACTGTGAGAATCCCTTTGACAGTACCCCATCTCTGAGAGTGGGGCAGAAGATGGGAATGGTCTCATCCACACTGCTCTCTATTGTCATTTTGTTCCCCTCTGTTGAAAGCTTTTGTCTGAGGATTTTAGATATTAGGGACTCCCTTTGTTCCCAGGCAGACAGAGAATCACTGGCTGCAATTCCTTTAGGTTCAAAAGTACTATACCCTATTACTCCCTGCTGAATTTGTGGGATTGAGGACTTAATCATTCTAACTTTAAACAGAGGCAGGCAGAAACCCTAATTCTGCAAAATCATTCAGATAATCTTTAGTTGTAATTTACATTGGTGAAGCATTGAACATGATCCTCAAACAGTCTGAAGTGCATTCTTTAAGAAGATTTGTTCTTTATTTGCTCTAAACTTGATTTATTTAATTGGTCATTGATTTGAGGTATGGATGAGTTTTGTCCCTGATTTCCCCACCAGCCAGTTTTTAAAAATTAATTCACGGGACATTGGACCAACATTTACGGCCCATCCCCAATTGCCCAGAGGGCAGTTAAGAATCAACCACATTGCTGAGGGTCTGGAGTCACATGTAGACCAGACCAGGTAAGGACAGCAGCTTCCTTGCTTAAATGACATTAGTGAACCAAATGGGTTTTTCCAACAATTGGCAAAGATTTCATGGTCATCCAGATTTTTTATTGAATTCAAAATCCACCATCTGCCATAGTGGGATTAGAACCTGGTTCTGTGGGAGCACTACCTGGGTCTTTGAAATAACAGTCTAGTAATAACAGCAATCATCTCTGTTTCATGTCAAAACATTTAGCTACCGTTTCAGGATTGGCAGCTAGATGGTGCTCACCATTTACAACATCAAATAAATAGACTGGCAGGCTAATTCACAGCAAAACCACACTCGGATGTACCATCAAAAAAAACAAAAACCGCAGCAGACATTGAGCTTAGAAGCTGCACTTGGAATTTAACAATGTCTCTGGTCTCCCTCCAAGTGGTTGAAAGGTTCTGTTAAAATGGTGCATTATTGAAAGAGGAGCAGATTCCCCCAGTGCCTGAAATGTGACTATCGACCTCTAGGTGGCACAGGTGGAGCAGGAGTGACTTTCGCCGGAGCCTGGGATGGGATTCTGAAACGTAAAGAGCAGATTAATTACTATACTGCTGACAATACTCATGTTGCCACACTCTGCCCAGCAACAATAGTGTCCTTCCTATTCAGTCATTCCTCATTCCTCATTCCCCATTCCCTATTCCTCCACCACCACCCCACCCCACCCCACCCATTGTCACTGGCTCTCCACCCCATAGTATCTTCATGCTCCTGATTAGTATTTTTTATTCAATTATATCACCTGCAAGGCCAGCACTTGTTGCCCATCCCTATGTGAGATATTGTATTATGATTCTCTTTACCACTCTTTACTCACTGCACCTGATGAAGGGGCTGAGCTCCAAAAGCTTGTGATTTCGAACAAACCTGTTGGACTATAACCTGGGATCGTGTGATTCTTCACTCTTTAGCAACTCACTCACAAGCGCTCGATGTTTACTATATTGCGTTTCCATTCACTCATTCATAAAACCGGGTTAAACTAAATTAAACATTCTTTCCAACCCATTACTGCTTCTTTACACCTTTCAATTCTTACTGACCCCATGCTGCAAGCAATGTCTAGACCTGTTTCTGTATCAAAGGCTACCCCTGAATAAGTGTTAATATCGTAATGTACTCAGAACAATGCCATCTCCGCCATTCAATGCCACTCGAAACTATGGAAAACGTATAATATTAATTAGCTCTTAGTAGCTGTCTCTCGGGACCTGAATAGATTGCAGAACATTGAACAGTTTCCTCCACTAGTATGTACTTTTTAAATACATATTAAAGAGGGCCGCTACCCCTTTAAGAAACTTACTATCAAAACAGCATTTCCGTGAAACTGCATGAATGAATGTGTAAGAACTGTCAAAACCAGTGACAGTAAATGAAATCTCACAACCCAGCTGCAGGAGATCAGATTAATATCCTCTGTACTTTTATTTAGTACACATATAATTTCTTACTTATTTAGGTCATGCAAGTCTCGTATTTTTACTAACATTACTAACTTTAAATACAAAAGGACTAACACCTCTTAATTATGCAAACTCAGAGCGGACAGACATTCTAATCCCATCAGCAGTAACAGCCAGCATTTAGCAAGTGCTTTAACCATTTCCTGCTTCCCCAGGACTGATATCATGCAAACTTGTGTATCACAGATACAACTATGTGATGCCATAATGCTAAAATTTTAATGGAGGTAGAAACGGTGTATAAAATAGGCTACTGTAAAACTGTAGTCTGGATCCTATCATAAGCCTTGAATTGTGCTACTGCAGATACTCAATAAAGAGGCTATTTTCACCATTCACCGATCTTGGTCGTTTTGAACATGATTCCACACCTAATTACCCTTGAACTTGTCAGGGTCATTTCAAAGGGCAATTAAGAGTCAACTACATTGCTGTGGGTCTGGAATCACATGTAGGCCAGACCAGGTAAGGACTGCAAATTTCCTACCCTGAAGGGTAATTTTTAAAACAACGCCAGCTTTTAGTTCCAGTTATTTTCTCTCCCAAGTTTCACCACCTGCCCATGTTGGGATTTGAACCTACATCCCAAGTTATGTAGTCTGGGTTACTAGCTCAATGACATTACCAGTACACCACACCACCACCCCTCTACTAGCCTTTCCAATCGTGCAATGGTGTGCCCAGTGAGCCCAGGAACCCTCAGGCTTTAGAAGAACTGCAAAGAAGTGGTTGGGAATTGAAGGACACAACACTAGCTGGTTTTCACAGGTAATTAAAGGTGACGTACCTGGGGGGTATGCGAGGTGGAATTCGAGGAGGTGGTAAACTGGGTGGACAGTGTCGGCTCAAAGGCCTGCTCACAGGCCCACAGTCCACTGCCTCATTGTCCTGAAAGAGGTGGAAACGGGAAAAGACAGAGAGAGAAAAAAAAGTCACAATTTGCAAAGAGACCTGGTGAAACCAGGTGTGTTATATCATCAACATTTTCATTCTAACTTGGGGAACATGATAGGATTCTCCCAATCTCCTAGATTGTGGAAGCACCATTCCAGCACATTTGCACAGTCCCAGTCTCCTCGTGTTATTGACATCTAATTTTTAGAAAATTCATTCATGGGATGTGGTGGTCAGTGGCTGGACACCATTTAAGCAGTTCAAGAATGCAGTTCACCATCACCTTCAAAAGCACAACTAGAGATTGGCAATAAACGCTGGCCCAGTGATACCCACAAGTCAATGTAAAAAGAATTCGACTGAGCGGCTTGCTAAGCCATTTCAGACAGAAGTTAAGAATCAACCATACTGCAGTGAGTGTGGAGTTACACGTAGGCCAGATCAGGTAAGAATGACAGATTTCCTTCCCTAAAGGACACTAACAACCTGGTTGGGTTTTTACAACAATCAAATGTGGTCACCACTTGGCTTTTAAATTCCAGATTTTCTTTTAAATTAAAATTTTATCATCAGCCATGGTGGGATTGAACTCAGGTCCCACAGCATTAGCCTGGGGCTCTGGATTATTAGCTTGGTGCATTTCATCATCACATCCCCACATTGAATTACCTCATTATCCCCCTCCGCTCCACTGCTTAAACTCAGAATGCTCCGTGTACTTGATCGACTGCTGAGACTACCTGAGGAGAGAGAAGACAGACTGATTTAGGGAAGGAGACAGCTTCTGATCACACGTTTAAATTTTTAAAAAATCTAATGGTATGTCAGAGCTCAACTCTGTCAAAACTGTTTGCGGAGTGAACAACGGGCTGTGACAACTGCTAGTAATTGCAACTATGAATTTATATCAGTTAAACGAAGGGAGAAGATTAGTTTCTGCACGTTCTCCAGAACTGAGTGAACTTCACCTTCTATATCAGTGTATTGTACATTAGGATCCAGGAAAGGAGGACTGATTTCTGACAATAGCAAGAACTGCAGACACTGGAGTCAGAGATAACAAAGTGTGGAGCTGGAGGGACACAGCAGAAGAAGGGCCCCAACCTGAAACGTCAGCTTTCCTGTTCTTCTGATGCCTTCTGGCCTGCTGTGTTCCTCCAGCTCCACACTTTGTTATCTCCGATTTCTGACAAGTTGCTTTGATCATCAACCCTGATCAGTGGGAGGGGTTAGAAACGTAAATCAGCATTTTTCCCGAAGGAAAGAGCCTTACAGAAAGAAAAGGATGGCAGAAGGTAACCGAGTTGGTTCTGGCTGTTTTCTAGTCTGCTCAAGTTGTTGTTGGGTGCACCTGTTTTCAGATCATTCGCGATATCATGGCCTTCCCATTTTTAACCTCTTTCTGCACATTCAGCTATGCCTTTCATTCACAGTTTTCATTCCTGTTTATAAAGCAGGTGGTGGTAAAATAATACTTCAGTCTGCAAGATTCTCTCTCTCTCTCTCTCTGTAAAAAGGAAGTTTGGGTGTAAGTTTGTACAGGGGAGAAAAATAGCCAGGCTGTGGGGTAAGAGCAGGCAATTGAGATTAATTGGATTGATCTTTGAAAGACCTTCCCGCTGTGTTTGATAATTCTATGTTTAAAATAAAGGAACAACTAAGAACAAGGAAAAGAAGATGAAAGAGGGTGTATGAGAAAAGGTGGCACAATTCATGATGGGCTGAATAATCTCCTATATTGTGTCACTGCGTGAGTACTCGTGTGATGAACTTAACATTTATCTTCTGAAGGATGAGCAGATGAATTTGGGGCCATTAATAAATTAGAATTTAACTAAGATATTATGAATACATTAACAAAGTAGGCCACTCGGTCCCTCAAGCCTATTCTGACATTTAGTAAAATCATAACTAATCTGATTACTCCATATTCTTTGGAAGTCTCTACCCCAAAGGGCTGTGAAAGCTCAATCATTGAACAGGTTCAAGACAGAAATCAATGGGTTTCTGGAGACTAACAGCAGTAGGGGATACGGAAGATAGTGTGGCAAAGCAGCAATGAGATGATCAGCCATGATTGAGTGGAAGGGTTGGCTCAATGGTCTATGTTTGTTCCTGTGTTCCTAGCCACCGATAACCTTTAACCCTCTTGTTTATCCAGATTCCATCTACTTCTGTCTAAAAAAACTGCTAAAATCTGACATATATTATGCCACAAACGTGGACATACTTGCTGTGCTAGATGTGCTTCCTGTTTTCCACATCCCCCGCTGTATCCCTTCTCGTGATGTGCAAGGTGGAATGAATCTGGAATTCTCTTCATAAACTCCAAACTCTGCACTCTCTGGAATTTGGTCATTTGATCGAGCAGGAAGTGTGATCTCCAACTCTGGGCAGCAATTACAACAGGTACATTTTAAAACATTAATATCATAGTGATCCTCTGTGGCATTGCTCCTGAATAAAGACACTTTATTTAATAATAAAATCAAGCAGATATTGACTCAGGTAAATATTAATCCTTCACTGGCAGATAAAGGAAAATGTCACGAATATGCATTCATAATATGATTGCACATTTAAATAGGCTAGTCACCGTTCATTGAGAGTTAGAAAAATAGGAAATTGGTGTGCCTGATGTTTTATAACAGACTGAAGATGAGGGGCATTTCTTTCTCGAAATGTGAAACTGATTTTCCTCTTTTTAAAGAAGATTTTCTTGGGATGTTGCTGTCAACCATTTATTGTCCATCCCTAGTTGCCCTTGAGAAGGTGGTGGTGAGCTGTCTTCTTGAACTGCTGCAGTCCATGTGCTGTAGGTAGACCCTTAGGGAGGGAATTCCAGGATTTTGACCCCAGTGGCAGTGAAGGAATGGCAATATATTTCCGAGTTAGGATGGTCAGTGGCTTGGAGGGGAACTTACAGGTGGTGGTGTTCCCTTGTATTTGCTGCCCTTGTCCTCCAAGATGGCAGTGGTCATGGATTCGGAAGGTGCTTTCACAGGAGTCTTAGTGAATTTCTGGAGTGCATCTTGTAGATGGTACACATGGCTGCTAGCGAGTGTTGGTGGTGGAGGGAATGGATATGTGTGGATATGATGCCCAATCAGGCAAGCTACTTTATCTTGGATGGTGCTGAGCTTCTTGAGTGTTGCTGGACTTGTGATTTACACAAGGATTGCATGAATTTGGAGCAGAAGCAAGTCAACCCGGCCTTCGAGCCACTCTGTCATTTAATAAGATAATTCCACAAATCAGGACACTCTGAAAGATTTCCTCCTCATTCCTGTCTTATTAATGAACTGTGTCCTTTAGTTCTGGTCTCCCACAGGAGAGGAATATCAGCATCCACCCTATCAAGTCCCCTCTTTCATGAAGATCACCTCTCATTCTTCTAAACTGTAATGGTTCCAGTGCAACAGAGGTTCACTAAATTGATCCTAGAGATGGACTGAGGAGAGATTGAGTAAAATCGGCCTACATTCCCTGGAATTTTGAAAATGAGAGGTGTTACCACTGAAATATACAAAATTCTTAATGGCCTTGAATAAAGTTGATGCTGGGAGGATGGTCTCAGAATAGGCAGTTAGCCATTCAGGACTGAGATGAGGAGAGGTTCCTTCATTCAAAGAGTTAAAGATCTTTGGAATTATCCAACGTAGAGAGATGTGGATGTCAGTAATGAACTACATCCAGGACAGAAGTTAATTGAGTTTTAGATACTAAGGCAATTAAGAAATATGGGAATGTATAACCTTAATGCATATGGATATGTTATATTTATGATATAAAAGGAGGTGGAGTTAAGACAGACGATTAGCCTTCATTGTACTGAATGCTGGAGCAGGCCTGGCTTACTCCTATCTCTACTGAAGCTCTTATGAGCTGTAGGCTGCTTCCTGTGCTTTAGATTTTGTAGGGCAGCTCATGGCATTTAACATTCATTAGATGCATCGCATATGTTGAGGTTTCTCTTGCTTTTTTATCTGCACATTTGTTGGCAGTGTGAGTTGATAGCAGCCCAGCAAGTACAACAGGACATTTGGGACCTTGGTGAAGAATTTGACAAATACCTCTCTCTAAGTGGGTTTGACGAATTGGGAAATAAGCAGTGGAAGGACTGAGGAGGGTACACAGAGGGGGTGAATGCTGCCTCAAATCAGGTGCAGCAAGAAAGTTAAAACGAGGCAAAGAAAGCGTGGATTAGGAGAAAGAACAAAAAGGAGTGTGAGTGAAAAAAAAACAATTTTTGAATTTTTCAGTTTTCAAATCTTCAGCAGCAATTCACAAGCTGAAGGAATGAAATACCCCATGAAGAATTGTCATTTCACAGGCTAAAGAAGCTGATAGGCAGTCAATTATCATACTATTAAAAGGGAGTTTGAGCTGTTAGTTTCTACACTTCTGTGGTGTGTTTATTGTAAAATTAATGCACAAATGCAGCAATTTCATGATACTCAGGGGGCTTGCAAGGCTAATGGTGAATTAGGGAATTTCAGCCAGAAACCTATAGCTATTGGTATTTTACAAGGTCCTTGCTGCCGGTTACTGACTTACTCACACATTCAGAATGATGTATGCTGCTCACATCCTGTTCTTTTTTTTAACAAGGTCTAAGCTGTTGCTGTTATAAAACAGCTCAGAGAAATAGCATATAGTAGATCTGCTTTGTAGCCTGAGATGATAAATTATACTCTAGTTGGTAATAAGGCCTTGGTCTCAACTAAAAACATGTTTTAGACTAATGATGTGTAACTAGATTCCGTGTCCAATTGTGAAATAAAACTGGACATGCCTGTGTAGTCAAAGATGATAAGATGTTTCTGGTTTCAGAGCTCATAATGCTCATGTTGGAGGCCAGAATTTGGTCATGAAAGAGTGAGGTATCTTCTACATGAGATAACGTATCCTGTACTTTGTGACGAGGGAACAAAAATGACTTATTTGCCTGTTTGTGGTAGGTAAGGGAAACTTGTTCATGTTTCAACATGGTGTTTACAAACCCAGCAAAATTCTTTCAGCGACAATATTGTCCTCTCCGTCCCCCACACTCTGGCAGTACCACAACCAATCTCTTTGTTTAATTAAGAGTCTTGTGTCCAACACATCACATATGTGTGCATGGGCTGTTACACTTCTCTGATTAACCCAATTAACTGGCATCTTTCACATGATTTGTCACTCACTGTAACCTTCCTTTCCAGGACAAATCAGAACATCCTAAATACATACAACATTCAAGGACTCTATAAACTATCAAACACCTCAAAACCCTTTTTCCCAATGACATGTTTGGAAAATGCAATTGTATTCAGTGTAGTGGCTGTCTTGCCGTAGTCATAGAGACTCTGTTGTAAAAGGGCCTTTGTGTGCAGTCAATCATTCAACACATCACTGTAATACTACAGATTTACACATTCTCTCATTCATTGTCCTTTCATGATTCAACAGCCTTGTTCCCGAACCCTCTGTTCTGTTCCAAGGATTCCTCCTTACATTTCCCTAACTAATCAAGGTCCCTCCTTGCAATCCAACCCAACGACATCAAATGAGAGGATTTAATATCTCCCTGACCTTGAGCAATGACATGGGTGATCAGCCAGTACACATCGATGGTAAAACTGGCCATTTCAGATCTGAGTAGGTCATATTTCCATCTCAGAGTCGGCAGGTAGTGAGTTTAAGGCTAATTCTAGAGGTTGAGCCCATGAACTAGACTAGCTATACTGAGGGGGTGCTAACTTTTTGGAGGAGCTGTGTTTTGACTGGTTATTAATCTCAAGGTCCGTCTGCCTGATCTGGGGCTGGAACCTTTCCCACTGACTTCACAGCATTCTTCCTTCAACTGATATCACCAGAAACATGTCAAAAAAAACACTTGCAGTTTAGCTAGCCATTGACTTTATTCCTGTTTGTTGTATCTTGTTCCATGTAAAATTATTGCAATGCTTCGCAACATAACACACACCTGTTGCAATGCGTGAAAAAACTGAAGATGTTTCGCAGAGGTGCAATAAACTGCTCTACAGTCAATTCTTAGAAGGTATTTCTCTTAAATGATTAAATATAAACACTAAGCAATCTCCAATGACAGAGTTAAGAGATGTTATAAATAAAGCTATTACTCATAGGCACAGCTGTGCAGTGGCAGTGTCCCTACCTCTGAGCCAGGAGGCTCAGGTTCAAAGGCCACCTAAACCAAAGATGAGTAATAATATCTCTTGATTAGAAAACAGAATTTGACACATGAGCCAGCTCTCTGAAAGCAGCAGCTCCTTAATTCCAATTCTCTACCCTCGCCCCAGATTGTTTTATTCTTTTTAAACATTTATCGACTACCTGTTTAAAAATATTATTCATTCTGATTCCATGACTTTCTGATCAGACAGTTTTAAAAATTCTTCCATGGGATGTGGGCACCAGTGACAAGCTTGCATTGGTTCACCATCACTAATTGCCCTTGGATTGAGTGCGTTTCCCTGGCCATTTCAGAGGGCAGTTAAGAGTAACCCACAGTGCTGTCGTCTGGAGTTGCATGTAGGCCAGACCAAATAAATATGGCAGATTTCCCTCCTAAAGGACAATGGGAAATGAGGTGGGATTTTTCCGACCATCATTGATAGTTTCATGGTTACCATTACTGAGACTGGGTTTCGATTTGAGGTTTTAATTAAATGAGTTTAAATTCCACCAGCTGCTGGGGGTGTGGGGGAGTTTTGAATTTGTGTCCCTAGAGCAATAGCTTGGTCGTCTAGATTACGAGTCTAGTCATTTTATTGCTATACCACTTTTAACTGAGACTTTACAATTCTCCCAGCATCTCTCTCCATTTTCTGGTGATGCTCTTAAAATTAAGCCCAACTCTGTCTATTACCAGTCCTCTGACTAATGAAAATCGACTTTTGCATCTAGAATTGTAGAATCCCTAAAGTGCAGATAGAGGCCATTCAGCCCAGTGACCCTCTGAAGGGCATCTCAACCAGACACACACCCATACCCATTCCCTGTAATCCTGCATTCCCTATGGCTAATTCACCCAGCCTGCACATCCCTGGACACTATGGTCAATTTAGCATGGCCAATCCACCTAACCTGCACATTTTGAACTGTGGGAGGAAATCAGAGCACCTGGAGGAAACCCATGCAGACACAAGGGAAGAATGTGTAAACTTCACACAGACAGTCACTCAAGGCTGGAATCAAACCCAGATCCCTGGTGCTTCAAGACAGCAGTGCTGACCACTGAGCCACGATGGTTCACCATTTACTTTCTCACAAATTCACAAATTTTCACTGCTCAAAATTTGGAAAACATTGACACCGTCACAATCAGTGCCCAAGTTTTGAAAGTCCCTCATCTTTGGGATCATTGCGTGAATCTCTCCTCTGTGCGTTTGATGAAAGGACAAGAGGGAATCTGATAGAAACCATTGTAAAAATAATTGAGATGTATAAAATTCTAAGAGGGCTGGACAGACTAGATGCAGGGAGGATGTTTTCCCTGGGTGGGGAGTCTAGCACCAGTCTGTCTCAGGATACAGGGTAATCCATTTCAGATTGAGATAAGGAAACATTTCTTCACTCAGAGGGTGGTCAACCTGTGGAATTTGTTAGCCCAGAAGGCTGTGGAGGCTGGGTCACTGAGTATAGTCACAAAATAGAATAATTAGTTTTGGATATTAAAGGCATCAAGTGGTAGGGGGAAAGATTGGGAATATGGTATTGAGATAGGGGATCAGCCACGATCATATTAAATGGCAGAGCAGGTTTGAAGTGACGAATGGCCTAACACCGCTCCTAGTTTCCATGTTTCTGTGTTTTTCTACATTTCTCTCAATTGTGGTCACAATCTCAAGCATCTGATTTATCCCCTCCTCTCTATCTAGGGATTACAACTAGCTTATTGAACTGAGATAAAACTGAGTACTTCAAAGCTGTGGATGGGTGGAACTGAAACTTCTATCGTGATGAATACTCATCCATTCGGTGTATTTCCAGTCTGTGCTTGCTGTATGAGGGAGAGGAGCATTTACTTCAAATGGTTTGAAGCTTCTCACATTGATGTACAGGAATGGTTGGAGCTCACCTTGATGTTTACCAGATTTCCCTTTGATGTTCTGTCTCCGTGTGATACTGTCCCGCAGCTTCTTTAGGTTTTCCTGACAAATAAAAAATAACATTAGATTTGTCAGTTCGCATTCTGGTGACCCTCCAGAGAGCAAGCAATGAACAGACAGAAGACTGAAAGGATTCTGCAATAGGGTTAGGGTTAGGTTTATGTGCAGACTGAATTCCAAACAGTGGAAGATTATTAGTAACATGATCTTTGGTCAGATACAACTGTTACATCTTCCACAACATTTCTGTTTTTGCCATGCTTTTTTCTTGTATTCAATGATGGGATGATTAGTGCCCAGCCCTCAATGACCCCTGTGAAGGTGATGTGGAACTATCTTTTGTTATACAATAGACAATACACCTGCCTATAATACACACAATTGTAGCTTGTTAGATCATTTCACAGGGCATTTAAGAGTCAACCACATTGCTGTGGGACTGGAGTCACATGTAGGCCAGACTGGGTAAGGATGGCAGACATCTTTAATGGAAGGTCGTTGAATGTAAAACAGATGGATTTTTAAGACTCTCGATACGTACATATTGGATGTAGTGTTTAGCTACAGGAAACCAGTAAAAACACTTCAAATTGGCTGTGAAGTTCTATATAATATCCCGTGGAAGTGCAAGACACGTTTGCAATACACCTGCACATCTGCCAATGTGGTATACTGCATCCGCTGTACCCGGTGTGGCTTCCTCTACATCGGGGAAACCAAGCGGAGACTCGGGGACCGCTTTGCAGAACACCTACGCTCGGTTCGCAACAAACAACTGCACCTCCCAGTCGTGAACCATTTCAACTCTCCCTCCCATTCCTCAGACGACATGTCCATCCTGGGCCTCCTGCAGTGCCACAACGATGCCACCCGAAGGTTGCAGGAACAGCAACTCATATTCCGCTTGGGAACCCTGCAGCCCAATGGTATCAATGTGGATTTCACAAGTTTCAAAATCTCCCCTCCCCCCACCGCATCCCAAAACCAGTCCAGCTCGTCCCTGCCTCCCTAACCTGTTCTTCCTCCCACCTATCCCCTCCTCCCACCTCAAGCCGCACCTCCATCTCCTACCGACCAACCTCATCCCGCCCCCTTGACCTGTCCGTCCTCCCTGGACTGACCTATCCCCTTCCTAACTCCCTACCTACACTCACCTTTCCTGGCTCCATCCCCGCCTCTTCGACCTGTTTGTTTCCTCTCCACCTATCCTCTCCTCTATCCCTCTTCTATCCGCCTCCCACTCTCTCCCTATTTATTTCAAAACCCCCTTCCCCTCCCCCTTTTCTGATGAAGGGTCTAGGCCCGAAACGTCAGCCTCTCTGCTCCTATGATGCTGCTTGGCCTGCTGTGTTCATCCAGCCGTGCACCTTGTTGTCTCGGATTCTCCAGCATCTGCAGTTCCTACTATCTCTGATGCAATACAAGTCTGTTTACTTGAGTCAATCCAATAGCCCTTCACTATAAATGCAACTAGCACTTTGCTACCCAGGCTTCAAAGCCTATTTGGCGTGACTGGGCTAGGCTGTTTCTAATGAGGCTGATATGGATTGGTTTGAGCTGGGCCAGGGTGAGGCAGTGAGGATGGGCAGGTGAAATGTGAATAGACTCAGTTGGTCCGGAGAACATTACATATTAAAAATGTTCTTGAGAGGAATCATTTTAGAGGTTCCAGTTATGTGAAAGATGATAACTGCTGCTCAATCCACAAGCATGATCCTGAGCTTTTCGTAACCTGTCATTTTAATTCGCTGTCTTGTTTTTATGTTGATCTTGTTGTCCTTGTCTTCTGCAATGTTCAAATAAATCTCAGTAGAAGCTGGGGGAACATTTTACAGCTGAGGCTGTTGCAAAGTCAGTATAGTGGATTGGAAGGCAGGATGTTAGGATTTGATATTTGCAAAATGATGGGCGGGGGGGGAGGAACGTGTGGTCCCTTTAAAAGATGATTTTAGTCTGCAGGCAGGAGCAGATGCACAGAGAGTTCTCGAAGTTGAAACATTGTATCAAAAGACTATACTGTTACCAGGCAAAGTAATATTTTTTACCAAGACAACAGGTTTTTGAATTTAGCCAATTAATTTAAACCAGACCCTAGATACCAAAACCCAATTAAATTTAAATCTGATGGTTTTGACAAACTAGAGCCAATCCTAGTGTAAGAAACTGATAGGTTATCAAAGGTACAAAAGAAGAGGTTATTTGAAAATCAGTATGAGAGCGAACTGTCATCCGAAGAGAAACTCACTGACTCTCATGGAATTCTCTAAGCTCTCAGAGTAAGCACCATTTAATAAAGGTACTACGGCACACTTAATTAATATTCCTGACACAAGAATTTGATGGAGAAAGGCGTTCCTGAATGGAAAACAGCAGAGAAGGCAAAGAAGATTCTGGAAGACTTATCCTGGCTGTAATTTTGAGAGACTTAGTTTTAATTTTTTTTTTTCTCATTTACTTTGGTTTATATAAGTGGGACTTGTATTTATTGCAACAGCATACCATAAGAATTTTGTTAATTCGGGAATAGTTAGTAGTTAAGGGGGAATTGTTCGGTTTGTTAGTAGTTCTGTTAATTTGTTCACTGTTAGAGTTAGATAAATATATTGTTACTTGTTACTTATAAAGTGAGTATCAGGGATTTCTTTCATTTAACCTCTGCTTCGTAATGAGGCACTTTACAGCTCTCTGGCCTCAAGCATAATCTATTCCCCATTTGTTTCTTTTTCCTTTGCTAAGTTTTGGTTCTAATCACTTTCTCATGTTTGCTTTTTGGATGCCAGATGTTCCTCTGTCTGTCATTCGCACCTCCTCTGCACATCTATTTTGTTATTTTACTTATAACTTCCCATATCGTTCACCCTTTCACAGATTGTTCCGTTGTGTGTTTGGGGTCTAACTCGGTTTAATCTTCCAAAGTAATGTCGCTGGGATCCAAGGAGCTCCTGCCAAAGCTCCTTAGTTAAAGCTCAATCTGTACAGTCATTCTCTTCCCTTGATGTTAGAGCTTCTGTTCCATACTTCTCTGAATCATGCAACTGTTATAATAACTATATCATCATTATCATCATGTATCTTTCTGATGTTAATCGTGTTATTCTACATAGTTTTGCTTTTACATTCTTTTCCCCATTCTCTGCCTTTCATCTGATTCGAATTTATTATGTTTGTAATTATTCCCAGCTCTGATAAATGGCCATCAACCTGAACCATTAACTGTTTCTCTCACCACAGGAGCTGTCTGACCTCCTGAGCACTTTGAGCATTTTTTGATTTGTTTTGGATTTTCAGCATCCACAGCATTTTATGACAGAGATCCACCTTGATGGCATGGTTACATTTGCTACTGATGTGATGTTGTGTTCCTGTTTGTAAAGAATATATCTCAAAAATTAATGTACACATTTCAATGTGCTACACAGCTGGGGTGAGGACCAAAGAAGAACTGGTTAGTTTTTGGAGAAGATACAGTCTGTATCATGAAATCTGTTTTTAAAAGAATTTATGACTTTTTTTTAAGAATGTTCATAGAATCCCTACAGTGTGGCAACAGGCCATTTGGCCCAACAAAACCACACTGGCCCTCCAAAGAGCATCCCACCCAGACCCATTCCCCTATCCCTGCATCTCCCATGTCTAACCTAAACAATCCTAGGCACTATGGGCAATTTAGCATGGCCAATCCACCTAGCTTGCACATCTTTGGAGTGTGGGAGGAAACTGGAGCACACGGGGAGAATGTGCAAACTCCACACAGACAGTCGCCTGAGGCTGGAATTGAATCCAGGTCCCTGGCGCTGTGAGGCAGCAGTGCTAGCCACTGAGCCACCATGCCGTCATGTTCTGGATTGTTTAGTTCAGAACATTGACTGGTTTAGAATGTAATGACTTGCCTCAGCTACTGCGGTGGAATTTTGTCAGGGGTGCCAAAATTTGAGCAGAGTTTTCAGAATAGGTTATTGGGTGTTGGATTGGCTTGAGGCTTACAGAGAGAGATGGAAGCTTGTATGCTAATTATGTCTTTTCTCGGCTTTATAGGTACAGACTACTATCCCATAGGAGAAAAAAGACTCATGAAAGAGTTGTGTAAACATATGAATGTTGAGGACAGCTAGGTGGTTCAGTGGTTAGCGCTGTTACCTCACAGCGCCATGGACCCGAGTTTGATTCCAGTCTCAGGCGGCTGTTTCTGTGGAGTTTGCACATTCTCCCTGTGACTGCATGGGGTTTCTCTGGGTGCTCCGGTCTCCTCCCACAGTCCAAAGACATGCAGTTTAGGTGGATTGGCCATGCTAAATTGCCCATAGCGTCCAGGGATGTGCTGGCTAGGTGGGTTAGCTAAGGGATACGGTGGGGGGTGAGTCTAGGAGGGATGCTGTTTGGAGGGGTGGTGTGGACTCAGATGGCCTGATTCCACAGTATTGGGATTCTATGATGGTGGAGACATGCACTCAACTGTGCACTATTTTGATTTGTCAATATAATTTCATGAGAAGAACATGAAAGTTCGGAGATGCTTTGCCTCTCTCTTTGAGTTGCTGGATCTGGTGAAATCAAATGCAGATAGACAAATAATACAGGATATAGGGTAAATTTGGTCAATTCATGTTTGGCTAGAGGGAGAAACCTTACAGAACTGATCTCCAATAGGACAGATAAAACAGATCAGATGCAGAGTGCAGGGGATTATAAACAATCTTGGGAGTAATAGGCTGAGTAATTGCTCTGCAATCAAACCTTTCATTGTCTCTGACTGAGGTATTTGATCACAGTGAATGAATGCAAAGGAGGAATTTAAATGATCAGGTCCTGACCTCAGCATTAGGAACATTCTGACTCTCCTGTTGTACTGGGGGAGGAGTATTTAAACAGAGAGTGAGATACCTGCTGGTACCGAAATGACTCAGATCTGCGTTTTTGGTTCAGTTGCCACTCCTTAAACTGCAGGAGAGCCTCGTCCACGTTGATCATGCCTAACTTCACTTGTTCCTGCAAGGTGATGAGCTGGCGCTGCCCAGGGGTCTTCATCCCCGCAAATGGATCATAGTCACTGGACGGAGCTCTAGATAGTGGCTGCTTGTTGCGTGGTGGAATTGCTGGAAAAGAAATCCCAATGAGCTGGATTAAATTTGCTCATGTTATACATCATCTGATCTCCCCTAACCTGTCATCCTCCCATCTCCTCCTCCACATCCCCCACCCCCACCACTACCACCACCACCACTGTCCCACAATCTCACAACCTCCTCATTATTTGACCCTGTCAATGGTCAATGCTACAACCGAGCCTTCTGCTGAGCTGTAAACTAACCATTCGGGCATGGCGGTCCAGCGGAGATCCAGTGGTTCTCTGGGGTTGGGGTCGGAGTTTCGAACTCCAATTCTCATCTAAACATTCCTTTTTTTTCCCAAATTACCAGGAACGAGGAGTGAATTACAGGAGGGGGAGCACTGACCTCCAATTTCAGCAACGCTGGTTTGTTTATGGCTTGAGGTTCCTATAGGCTCCTCTGGATTATGCACATGGGGACTCTGTGATCACATTAATTCTGTCTTCAGTGAGCCCTTCCCTCAGAGCCATCCCACTGGGTAAAGTTGGCAAGAGGCCAGTGAGACCGACTAAGACATGTGATAGGGTTAGGTGGGGCCATTGGAGGAAGAGTGACCCTCTGAGATCCACCAGGGAAGAGATTTTTGCTGCTGGCCCAATGACCACACTCACAGCTACAGCCTGCACAGCTGCAAGACGCTAGCAACAGCCCTAACAACTGTCCACCCCCACTCCTGACACCGTGATGCCAAGGAATATCCTCCAGCTGGGGAATCTCGAACAGTAAAATACAGCTTCAGGAGAAAAGGATAATCATCTTGGACTGACATGAGGAGAAATTTCTTCACTCAAGGGTGGGGAATCTGTGGAATTTCTACGCACCCCCTTGTGGATGGTGGATCAGTGAATACATTTAATGCTAGGATGGAAAGATTTAGGTCTTTCTGGGAATCAGGAATATGGTAATGGATGGGAAAGTGGATTTTAAGCCCACAATCACATTGAATGGCGGAGCAGGCTTGACAGTCCTGCTCCTATTTCTTACGTTCTTACATTGCCTGAAATGGATGACCAACTGATCAGCAAATCATTGGGCCTGTGAAGAAGATTCCAGATTTCTCAAATTGTCACCTGCTTTCACTCAGGATTCACAATTCTGGTTGGACTTTACTCCAGGTGGTATCCATCACCCTCCCTCCCACCTCCCCGCATACTCTCACGATTGGCCATATGACCACTACACCCACCTCTGTGGAATCCTGTCTTCCCAGGGATAACCGGAAAACAAGCAAGCTCCAATAGAATCCACTGGATGATAATTGTCATTCAAACTCCCTTTCTAATCCCATCTGAAATCTTTTCATAACTAATCATTTTTCAAAGAAAATGACAAAGATCATGCCCAAGATGATTCACGTCCCTAAGATTTCTCTCCTTGCTTGCCTGAAGCAGTGTTGTGGGGAGATTAGTTTATATGAATCCACAAGATTCCAAGTGAATCTTGGGATATTGGCAACCCAACTCCAGCAAGGAGCTAACATGGCCTCAGAATCTCCCATTGTTACTCCATGTCTAACAGGGCCTCAAATTGTGCAACGTCTTGTCTTCTGCTTTCTTTTCTTTATACAATCCAAGCATTTTAACTACAGGATTTCTATCACTAATTTTGCCTTTCCTTCTTATCTCTGCAACATTCACTCTTCATTGAAGCTTGTTAATTAACTAAAGTAAAACCCATCCAGCTCTGTGAGATGGGAGGAATTATTGGTTTAAATACCTGGACCAGAGGATCCACCTGCAGGACTACGCAATGCTGTAGTGTAAAGGTTCTCTGGTCTCTTCTCCTCTTTACTGCAGAACACTGAGTCAAATAGAAATATAGAATTAATATTCTTTTCAATGCGCACCTCTTCCTAGGGCTACTCTTGAATGAGTGAATTGAAGAGGTCATGACAATGATCCAGGGCGTGCCTGACCCTCCACCTTCACTGGCAGCAGGCTTTTTTCAAAAATTCATTCATTCACAGGATGTGGAAATTGCTGGCTGGGCCAGCATTTACTGTCCATCCTTAGTTGCCCTTGAGAAGGAGGTGGTGAGCTGCCTTCTTGATCTGCTGCAGTCCATGTGCTGCAGGCAAATCCACAATGTTGTGAGGGAGGGATTTTAACCTAGCAATAGTGAAGGAACACCAACATATTTCTAAGTCAGGATGGTGAGTGGGTTGGAAGGGAATTTAGAAGGGGTAGTTTTTCCAGGTATCTGCGCCCCCGCCACCCCGCACCCCCACCCCTACTTCTAGTTGGAAGCAGTCATGGCTTTAGAATGTGCTTTCGAAGGGGCTTTGGTCAATACCTGGAGTACATTTGTAGATAGTACACACTGCTGCTACTGAGCATTTTTGGTGGAGGGAGTTGTGATTGTGGGGCCAATCAAGCGGGCTGCTTTGTCCTAAAGGTGTCAAGCTTCTTGAGTGTTGGAGCTGCACCAATCCAGGAAAGTGAGGAGTATTCCATCACCTTCCTGACTTGTGCCTTGTGGATGGGAGTCAGCAGGTGAGTTACTCGCTGCAGGATTCCTAGCCTCTGACCTGCTCTTGTCCAGTTCAGTGTCTATCAATGGTAACTCTCAGGTTATTAACTACGTAGTCACCATTTCCAACTCCAACTTGGTCCCAACATCTTTCGTGTTGTTTACTCTTTGTACACAATTGTCGTACAAATGTTACACAAATTCTCCTTCAAACAAGTGTGTGTTGATTACATGTCAAGTGAAATGGCAACATGTTTCCAGTTAAGCAGTGAAAGTCTGTACAAATATGCTAGCATTTAACATGTTTGTGACTTGTTAGCTAATGACAGCCATTAAAATTCTTGTAGTAAATACTCTGCAACCCTCACAATAGTTTTGTTTATTGACATAAAATCTGTTTTAAGTGATCGTGTATATTTTTAGTTTCTGTGTGCTAACTGCTTGAAGCTAAACATTGAAAGTTGACGGCCTCTAATGGCAGGCAACTTTCGGGTGGGGCGTCTAATCCCTGCATAGGGGGAGGTGCAGCCAGTCTTCCCCATGGAGTGCTGCCCACCCCTAACATTTAAGCCTTGGGGAGTGGGGTTGGGGTGCGGAGATTCCAGATCCTTGTATACTTCAGCCCTGAGAGTTGTTGGAGTGCAGAAGGAGGTCATGTGACCCATCAAGTCTATGCTGGCTGTCTTTATCCAGTCTGTCAGCCCTACTCCTCCAATCCAGCCCTGTACCCCTACTTTAGATTTAGATTTTATTGTCACATGTATTCAAATACAGAAGGAGTACAGTGAAAAGTGCATAATGTCGCCATCTTAGGCACAAAGGTACCTAGGTACAAAAAACGTAAATACACAGCAGTAAAAGAAACAAAATTAAAAAGTTAAGCATTACCTTTGTAGAATAAGTAGATAAATAAAGAAAGAAGGGAATAGTTAACGTTAAAGTACTTCTTAATGTCAACTGGGAAAATAAAGGAAGTACTTTATTGATATTGCAAATTGTGGAGAGCGCAACCTGGTTCTCAATTATACAGAAGATTAGGCTGATAGTATTAGATGAAGACAGGTGGGATAGAGAGTTGAGAGATATATAAATACCACTGTAGATTTGGTGAGGTGCAGGTAACCTAACATTTCACTGTGTTATACACAGACCCAAGTCTCAGAGCTTATGATTGAAGTACTTTGTCTTTATGTTGGTCAGCATTGGGTAGTATCATTGGGATTGGAGAAGGATCAATTATGGACTGTCTGTCCTAAATTGCAGCAGGGTCATTAACCAAATTCGACAGGTTTAAGGCATTCAGATCAGATAGACGGATTATGGAGAGAATATATGGAGTACAACTTCTCAAATATAATTAGGAATACGAACAGGACATTGGTTAGGCCACTTTTGGAATACTGCGTTCAATTCTGGTCTCCCTGCTAAAGGAAGGATGTTGTGAAACTTGAAACGGTTCCGAAAAGATTTACAAGGATGTTGCCAGGGTTGGAGGGTTTGAGTTATAGGGAGAGGCTGATTGTGCTGGGACTGTTTTCCCTGGACGGTCGGAGGCTGAGGGATGACTTTATCAAAGTTTATAAAATCATGGGGGACATACATAGGATGAATTGCCAAAGTCTTTTCCCTAGGGTAGTGGAGTCCAAAACTAGAGGGGATGGGATTAAAGTGAGAGGAGAAAGATTTAAAAGGGATCAAAAGGACAACTTTTTCATGCAAAGAGGGTGCTGCATGTATGGAATGAGCTGCTGGAGGAAGTGGTGGAGGCAGCTACAGTTACAACATTTAAAAGGCATCTGGATGCGTATATGAATAGGAAGGGTTTAGAAGGATTTTTTTATTCATTCATGGGATGAGGGCATTGCTGGCTAGACAGCATTTATTGCTCATCCCTAATTGCCCAGAGGGCAGTTAAGAGTCAACCACATTGCTGAGAGTCTGGAGACACAAGTAGGCCAGACCAGGGAAGGATGGCAGTTTCCTTCCTTAAAGGGAATTAGTGAACCAGCTGGGTTTTTCTGACAATTGGCAATGGATTCACAGTCATCATTAGATCCTTAATTCCAGATATTTATTGAATTCAAATTCCACCGTCTGCCATGGCAAAATTCAAGCCTGGGTCGCCAGAATATTATCTGGGTCTCTGGATTAAAAGTCCAGCGATAATACCATTAGGCTATTGACTCCCCTATGGGCCAAATGCTGGCAAATGGGACTACATTAATTTAGGATATCTGGTAGGCATGGATGAGTTGGACCAAAGGGTCTGTTTCCATGCTGTACAGCTCTATGACTGGGTCATTGAGCTGCTCTGCCATTTAATTAGATCATGGCCTCCAATGCCACTATCTCCATACCTCTCAATGTTTGTTTGTTTTCAGAAACCAATCATTATCCATCTTGAACCTGTTAATGATTGAGCTTCCATGGCCCTCTGTAATAGAGAATTCCAAAGATTCACTGCCCCCTGAGTGAAGGAATTCCCCTTTACTCCAATCTTCAATGGCCTGTTCATTGTCCTCAGGTTACGTCTCCTGGTTCTAGAGTCACCAGTTTAGGGGGAAACATCTTAAACAACAAATGCGTCTCTTGCCAAAGATGCCTATTTCCCACAAACAAATGTTATTTTTAAACAACTACTCTAGTGGGTGGTAGAAGCAGATTTAATGATAGCTTTCAAAAGGGAAGTGGATTAATGCTTGAAAGGGAGAATTGACAGGGCTATGGGGAAGGAGGAAGAAAGTGAGACTGGTCACATATCTCCTTCAGAGAGCTAGCATAGGAATGAATGGCCTTTAGAGCTGACTTCTCTGACCAAAGGTCTCTGCATTAAAAGTGCTAACTGCTCTTGAAGTGTGATGCAATGTAAAAACAAAACCAAGCTAAACATAGTCACTGCTAAAATAGGCCAACTATATTGCTGTACTGTACCCCTGGCCAAGGGTCATTGAGCTTGTTCTTGAGCACCTACACTCCCTGGTGTGGTCAAAACAAACCAAACATCTTTTGGAAACAGGAAATTGTAGCAATGTGTGATATTTCACTGAAATAAACCTGTCGCTCATAAATGAAGGCGGAAGCATTACAAAAGTCCCTTCAGAATGAGAAAGGGAAGTAGCTGCCCTGTCAGGTGGTCATGTTACCACACAGATGTTGACATACAATTTTCCATTCAGGTTCTTAGAAACATGAAGGTGGAATTGGTTTCACTGGTATAATGGTCAGTAACTGGAAGGACATGTAATTGGCAAAAGAACCAGAATGGCAATGAGGTTTTTACATTGCAAGTTGTGATCTGCAATGTGCTCCTCGTCAGGGCAGTGGAAGTAGACTTGTTAGTAAAGGGATTGGATAAATACTTGAAGGAGAGAATCCTGCAGGGCAACAGGGAAAGAAAGAGAACTGGAACTGATGCTTCCGTCTCAAGGGAGCTGGCACTTGGGTGATGGGCTGAGTAGCCTCTGAGCTATAAAATCTAAAGACTCAAAAGATCAGATAATTAAAGCGGAGAATTAGATTGGAGCAGAGTGATGCATTGACACACATGTACCTTGACAAGTCTGGAAAGCATTAAGTGAACTCATAGCAATCAAACCCTGGGGACTTGTAAGAACATATCAGTTGCAGTGAGAACAGGTTCGGTGATATCTGCTGGCACTGAATCCATTTGGCTTTGTGAACAGTGATTGCTGCTGTTGAAAAACCCTGAAAAGAGACTGAGGAATGAACCAAAGTCAATATGGGTCACATGGAGAAAGGCTAGGGGCATCTCTCATAGGAACAGGGGAGATTTCACTGTGACCCAATGCAAGTCTTTTAGATCAGAAAGGCAAAGATCATGGTAAACTGGTGAGAGGTTGAAATTGGAAGATGAAGGAATCAGAGAATAACAACTAAAATGGAAGTGCACATAAGATGAAGAAGCAATTAGTGAACATTGAGAGGTTTTTGGCGGGAAAAACAGAGCAATTTTACATAGTGAGAGACTACATAATGACGAGGTACAGAGAGATTAGGGGATCCTTATACATGAATCACACAAAGTTAGCATGTAGGTTTAGAAAATGATTAACAAGTGGAATGTTAGCCTTTATTTTAGAGGAGACGAAGTATAAAAGTTGGGTTAACATTTCGGGTCCTGTGACCCTCCCTCGGAACTGATAGTAGCTGGGAAAACGTCGGCTTATATGCAGAAAATAGAGAGAGGGATGGGGTAGGGAGTAAATGATAGGATAGAACCCGAAGAGAGAGAACAGCTGTTCGATAGACAAAGGAGTTGATAATGATCTGGCTAGAGGGTGAATAGTTGTTAATAGGGAATGTTAGTGACT